TTCTCAAATATCAATGGCAGCCTGGGTTTTCCACCAAAAAATAATTGAATAATTTTCTAATTTCTAGAAAGAAAAATCAGTTATTCAAGTCAAAAATAAATTTTATACCGACCTAATATATAGTGGTACACTTAATTAAATATCCATAACATTATTAATATGATTCGCTTTTAAAATTTTGCTGCAAACTTGATGGTCCCAAAAAGTTTCTGCTATCGAACGCCTTTGTGGTTAAAGGTCTTTGGGGTTAAAAGGTGATAGCCAAATTGCAGGGTCTAGAAATAAACACACTGTAGATTTCGTTCAACCGTTGGTTACTTACTTAGCAATTATTGGTTAATAAAAATGGCAATGCGTTGGAGAAATTTCAATGCTGTTAAATTGTTTCCCTGAAGCTTATTAATTTTCGAGACAGGATTTCTCCAGTGGCGTCGGTTAAACGTAAGAGTATTGGTAGAATAAATATTGCTTGTATTATACTCAATAGGTTCTTGTGTTTTGTCATAAAGAACTCTAGAGTCGTCTTTCGATCTTGTATTCACTGAGTGAAAATTACTGTTGAACCTGATTTATTTTGAAACACATTAACACACATTTCAAACACATATAGAATATACAATGTTAAAATATTAATGAAAACTGTTCAGCGATACGCAGGTAATTGTTTTATATGTATATTTGATGACAATATGGTGGAGACTCAAGATGTAATGTAAGAAGCTAAATATTCGGAAACTAGAATAGCTATCCTTTCATAAAAAAAATATATTTTCTATGCAATGTGGTGGTCTATAATAACCCTAGCCAGTAATATAACAATAATGTAACAAAACAAATTTTAAACTTGATATTTTCATATACCTTTGCCTGCGACATTTAAACAACGCATTTTCTTTAGAAACTTTTGAAGTGGTTGTCGGTCAAAGCAAATCGTTAGCAATTACACTCAAATTTACTTAATTTTTTATGAGCAAATATAATCTTATTCATATAAAAAAGGTCTCTGGGTAATACAAATATGTACTGCTAACTTCGATTTTAGCAGCTACTGAAGAAACAATAAACAAGATGAAGGATAATAGATAATAGATATTAATTTATTTGTCTTTTCAGCTACACTTTATGGTGGTTGAGGACAGGTCAGCATTTAATATAATATTAAGTAACAATAATAATAAAAAAAACGTGGAAGTAAAAAATAATTAGAAAAAAATGTAATAAATGTATAAGGTATTGTTAATTAATTGAGATATAAGAAACAAAAGGCATATAAATAAAAACTTGTCAGAAAAGCCCTAGGTGTAAGATGAACAAAAGTATACAAAATATTCGATGAATACTTCATTGACATTGTCTGTAGTTTCAGAGTACACCGAAGACACATGTGAATTTGTTAACTGAACTGAAACATTTTGTTTGTTCTTTTTTACCAATTGAATATAAAATATGTTGAAACCAAATTAACTGTTCTTCTCAAAACTATACGAGATGTGTTCAAAGAGTAAGGTGGCTTTTGTAATTGGGCGGCTGCGCACATTCGATCTTTGATATATTTTTTTTTGTTATGTTGGTACACCTGTCCCTAACAGTTTCAGCCAGTTCGCACATTTACTTTTTTTGTGAGATGGGTAAAAAAAATGGAACAAAAAATTTGCTTAAAATTTTATGATTGCCGAGAATATGCCGATGACGAACCTCGCTCTGGATGCCCTAAAACATCAATAACTAATGACAGCGTTGAAGAACGAATGGTGTTGAAAAATCGTCAAATCACTATTAGAGGAGTGGCTGAAGACGTCGGCATCTCTATTGACTTGTGCCATGCAATTTTTTCTGCAGTTCTAGTATGAAGAGTGTGGCAGCATAATTTCTTCCGAAACTGCTTAAATTTGAACAAAAGGACGAAGAACGAAGGAACATCGCTCAAGAGCTACTAAACGACGTGAAATCCCGAAATGCTCAAAAGGTCATGACTGGTAATAATCATGGGTATACTGTTTTCTTTGATTATAGGGGCGTAGTACACCAAGAGGTCTTACTACAAGGTCGTACGGTCAACAAAGAGTATTACCTTGAAGTTATGCGCCGTTTAGGAGAAGCAATACGACGAAAATGATGCATCACGATAATACAGCTGCTCAGTCATCGTTGCTTAGGTCGAACTTTTTGGAAAAAAAAACCAAAGCCACAATAATGCCTCAGCCGCTATATGCAACTTTTTCCTGTTCCCATAACTTAAGAAACCCATGGAAGGAAGGAGGTTTGGCACGATTGATGAGATAAAGGAAACATCTCTGGAAGAGATCAAGGCTATACTAGATAGTGCTTTCCAGAAGTGCTTCGAGGATTGGAAAAAAAGTTAGCACACGTGTATTATATCTTTGGGGCGGGGGGGGGGGGGGGGAATTTACTTTAAAGGGGACAATATTAATTTTGCTAAATAAATAAATATATTTTGATAAAACTAAAAAATCGCCTTACTTGCTTACCCTGCTTCAATATACGTATTGCGCGTGCAGTGTCATCAGCTTCGTTAACGACTCTATTTTGCACAAACGTAGCCAAAAACTAAAAGACGTTAAATAAGTGCAGTATGCACTTCGTCGATAGTTTTCTTCGTGTCACTCTTTTAATTAAATAATTATTGTTACTTTAAAAATTATAAAAATGCCAATACCCACTTAAGTTACACGCTGCAAAATTCTAATCAGGTTTCCAGGCGCAATTTATTATATTGATCATCGATTGTAGACGTTAGGATTTCAATTTATTAAATAATTTTTTTTTCAAAGTAGATTTGCATAATCTTGCCTTTTACTTTTGCGGTATAACAAATTTAATATTCATGGTGGGTATCCTATTTTCGAAATAATAATCAGTTTAAGAAAGGATCATATTAAATATCACGAGCGTGATGGGATGTCAGCGAGAAATTAGCATTTAACCAAAATAGTTTACCAGTGGCGAGATATACTGTAGTTTTAAACCTTTAAAACTACTGCTAACTTGTTTAAAGTATTATAGTATTATTTTTCAGAGCGTTCAAAAGGGAGTAAAGTGAAAACAGAGTAGAGGCGCTGCCATCCGCGTCTAGAAGCCTTGCAGTAGGTTTATGCGCATGCCCAGATTGACATAGATCGAGAAATATTTGTTTAGATGCTCATTTTTTGGTTACAGGCAAAAATTTTCGAGAAAAAATTTGTTTGTTGGTTGTGGTGTTATTCGACTGTGGAATGATTAAATAATTTACCTTACTTTGAATAATGTGCAATAATGCGAGAACCATTTGTTGTGGTGGAAGAAAAAGTAGCACCGGTAAGTAACCTTAAGTAATTTGGATTGATTGAATTATTGACGAACTAATGTAGCTGAAGTTGTGAAATATCGTCAATCTTACGTCGTTTTGCAGACATAGTAATAAGTAATAATTTGATACTACCATTTATCTCTTGCGATTTGAATTTATGAGGTAAGAAATATTCTTCGAGAATGGAGGAAGCCTTGTGGACATGTAGCCAAGTTAATAAGTCCTCTGAAACAGTTTTTTTTTTATATTTCAACTTATCAAACACGTGGTTGTACGATTTGGCAACCTTATTGCCTGGCTTATCGCTTTCTTCATTCCACTCAGATGTGAGTACATACTATACCAACCGTCAGTATATTCCTCAACCCCGATATTCGTTCTTAAATTATATGACGTCATTGCAATAGCGAGAGAAAACAAAATAATAACTTTTTCCCATTGGTGATGTGAACTAAAAACTTATTTTAGTTTTATTACAGTGGAAGTTTTATATTTACCCTAAAAGCTCTTTACCCACTTTAAATTAGGCTGAACCTGCATTTATGGATCCTGGCAAATACTCAAAAAACGACTTGTAATATCATCGCATATGTAGTTTGAAAAGGAATTTTATAGTTAGTCTTGTTGTGCTCTTATTAACGAGATACCTACCAATTTGATTTGAGGTTGGGGAAATTTTTTAAAAGAAGAATTGGTTATTATTTGCTCATCATTATTTTTCTTCTTCAACAGCGACCTTTCGGTGACATAATTTGGTATAAGTTAAAAATTTATTGTACTTCTGTGCAAGTCATTCAATTCTTCAATTAAATACAAGGTTGATACATTTTGCGTTTACATTTCCATGTTGGCTCTATTTTTGTTTTTATACGTCCATTAGACAATTTGATTTACATCTAGGGCTAACATTACACATGAACTTTGTAAGGAAATTTTATAGTTATCCTTAGCAGCTATTTTCTTATAAACCAGTTTACTAAAAGATTGGAGAAATCCACCAAAAGAAAAATTGTTTGTTATTTAGTCAAACCATTTTTTTTTAAACCGCGATTTCTCGAATTACTTTTTCCATGTCGACTGAATGTTTGTTCTTATAATTCCTTCACAACATGCGTATTATATGTAGTCATAACTTACACATAAATTTTTGAAATACATTTTATAGTTACTCTTTCCTATTAACCATGATATCTACCGATTTATTTTAAGTTGGGGGGAAATTTTTCTATAGAAAAATTGCTAATTATTTCATCAAACAATTCTCTTTGTTGTACCGCAATCTTTCGGTGAAGTAGCATTGGTAAAAACTAAAAATAAATTGTAAATAACCTGCACTGCTGCACAGGAGTCATTCAATTCTTTTAAGTGAACAAAAAGTTGATGCATTTTCTATGTGTTTTCTATACATTACACATGGATTTTGCAAACAAATTTTATAATTACTCTTAAAAATCGTTTTCCTATTAACCATGATGATGCCTACCAATTTATCTTTCTTCTTTAAAAACTAAATTCGCAAAACTTAAAATTTTCAAAGAAACTTTCACAAGCCACTGTAATTAATGTGGGCACTGGTCAATGGAACAGTCAAATTAGCTTCTCAAGAGCTAAACTGAAACTGAAGAAGCTGAAGAAGCCAAATGTAAATTCGCGCTTCGCAGGTATCAATCTACACTATTGTGTGGGAAAAAAAACACAATGCCCATTTTATACATAGTTTTAATATGGCTAAAGTGTAATATAAAAATTATTTATGCACTCTGTTACACATTTTCTTAAATTATGGTAGCAGTGAGGAGATTTCCATAAGCAACAATTTTCGGATGCGGCTGCTAGTTTGAGTACTCGAGAAAATTAAATATTGCAGACAAAAAATGTTTACGGAGAAACGGTCAGTTTAAAAAGTGATTTTTGTAACACATGGAGCAATCTTTTTAGCAATTCGTGATTATACTGTATACAAAATTAACCACGATTCGGGAATTTATGAACACATTATTTACCCTCCATTACTTTATATTAAAGTTACAAGTTTCTTATACAGGGTGTTAGCGCAACTGAGCAAAATGCAGGCCATTTCGAAAATTGTGGTCGCCCCAATTTCAGAAATTATCGAACCGCGCACTAGAAGAGGTAGATATTTACGAAGGATATTATAGTTCACATTGTGACACGCAATTTCGGGCACAAGATCTCATTTCGGCTGACACTCTGTAATAAGTCAACTTTGAATAGTAAATGCACGTTAATAAAGAATAATACAAACACTTTCAAGAAGTTTTAGGTACGAGGAAACTGACTAACTTAGAAACTCTAAAAATAAAATATTCACAACTATTAAAAAAATAGACAAGTAAAACAATGAAACGTATACTATTTTGAATAAAAACAACTTATTAAAAAATAAATTATAAAAGATTAATATTCTTTTGGGTGGGGCTATTTACAGTAAAAAAAAATCCGAATGAAACGTACCGAACTAAAAGCGGAAATTTTGGAATTGTTAGAGAAAAGTTTTCAAAAAATAAACTTAAAGCTATCTGGTACATATCTGGCACATAGTGTATGTTTGACTTAAAACAGCCAATCGGGTTTATTAATTGTTCCTACTTTCTGATTGTTGGTGTTGTTCGGAGAACTCGTCAGATCCAACAGACATGTCTGCTATAATACCGCTTTCTGCAAAAACGCAATAAAATTAAAAAATATATGTACGTCAAAAATCAGTAGTTTTTAAAAACTCACCTACTGAACACTGACTATTAAGCGTAGCTGACCGATAATATGGTTTGGGGCTGTCTAATGAGGACTCAAAACTTGAATTGGCCTGACCAGCCGGTACACTTCCGGATCCTCCGGAACTGGTACTACTTGTAGAGACGCTGGACATTGAAATAACCGAGTGAGGTCGTTTGACGGTTCGACACGAATCCATGAGTGGACCCGCTATGGAGTTGCGAAATCTTGGTGCCGCTGAAATTATAACAGGCATAGTATGGCCATGGGCTTTAGTTATTTCGTTCATATACTTTTACTAAGCTGCGCAAAACTGATAGACCTATCGCTTATTTGATCCGCACTCGGTCTGATATCCAAGCATGGTTTATTTCCGATACCCATCGATGACATCTCAGCCATCCGGACGGCTAAAATTGTGATACACTTCATAATTTCAAGATGTGCAGCAATTTTGGATTGAGTACCTCTGTTTTTGATCGCTTGCCTCCATAGCAACTGAGATAACTCCTCCGTCCACGCCTTTTTTACGTCCTCCGACATGGACTGAAGAGTAAACGTGTCGTTGGGTTTTCGTTTCCTAAACCAAATTTCAAATTTCGTGGCGCTGTCTCCTATTCTCGCCGTCAGGCCTATGTCTGTCATTTTTATACTGTTCTTGTATATGTACAGGTCGAGATTCTGAAAAAATAATTGCATTGCGCACTGTAATATTTTTAGCTGGAAAGGGTTACCTTTCTGTCTGGAAATCGGCGTGCTTTGCTGAACAGTATGAGTTCTTCAAACAGAAACACTTGCCTCAGCGATTTTTTACCACTTCTGCCCTCCCACACCAAGAATTCGTTCTGCCTTAGAAGTCTACCTTGCTCCTTGAGATTTACCTTTAGAAAATGTTCTTAAGCTGGGTTGTTAGAATATAAATGTTACTTACATCACATTCCCTAATGGAATCCATAGCTAGAAGATCATTTCCGTGTCTCAGCTGAAATCTGACCATCTCTTCTGCCTGCCTGAGATCTTCCAATTCCTGAACCACTCTCTCAGATGAGCTTATCAACGAGTTCGGACAAGCTTTCATCATCTGCTGCAGAAGCAATGCATACTTGCCCATCCTTTGCACCGGTTTGAGCAAGTAGCTGGCCAGATCCATTTTGTCCTCCAGTTCAAGCTGTTTACTCTAAACAAATTTTATGAAAATGCAAATTTTGATTTCCCCAAACTCCCCACTTGTTACCTTAAAGAATGTCGAGCCATACTCTGACATAAGGGAATCAGACTTGGGTTTGTTCTTGTTGTAGAGGGCGTAGAGATAGAACCGCTTGTCATATTTAAGGAATATCTGACCCACTTGAAGCGGATTGTTTTCGCACTCCTCTAACTCATTGAGGAAATGATGCCTGTGGAACTCGAATATTTTTTCCACATTTCCGAATACTGTGTTCCGTTGGCCCCTGAGTGCTTGTGGAATATCTTCGCGTTGAAGCTCCGGGATGTAGTTAACTATAACGTAGTCCAAGGACTTCACATAATCGCGTTCGGTTTCGATCATCTCTTTGATTATGTACTTTAAAGTTCTGGAAATGAATAACATTCAAAAACGCTTGTTTATAAAACACCAACCGTGATTTATTCTACAGAAACATCCACCAAAATCAACACGGATAAGAAACGCTTATTAAGCAACTTATCTTCACATACTTTTGAGTTTTAGGATCCATATTGTTATATAAGGCATCTGAAGGCAAATCTAGCGTAGAAGCGTGACAATATAAATGACTATTGGCGGACACTGGCGGTACTTTGCGTGTTTCGTCTCCGTAATGGTCCTCTTCAATGTCATCGCTACTATTACTAAAACAAGGAGGTATAGCTCGACTAAAATATTTCTTACGAAACTCGAAATAGCGTCAATTATGCAGCTTCAGCATTCTACATCTGCATGGTGTTAACTATACGAACAAAAAAATCGTCTTTCAAACCTTTTGTTGAACCCGTCACTGCATTCCTCTATAATACTGTCCTGCTGGTTGTCCGTATTATCCTGGTTGGATCCCGTACTCGAACTGCCCCCGCAGCAAATAGCGCAGCCCTCCCTGTAATACTGACATGAACACGTTCTTTGTAGCTTCTTTTTGCCATTAAAATTAAAGGAATTCGAACTTTCTTCACCGACCGAGTTGTCGGCAGTGGAAAGTCCACTATCACAACGACGACAGTTATCCAAACTGTTCATCTTCTCGAGAAGATTTTCCACGCTTTCTCGCTCTTCTTTAATACCTACAAAATCCGCTAATGAAATATTTACAAAAGAGTGAAACAAATTCCTAGAACGCCATGGAAACGAAAAGCTATTAAACACTAATTTTCACTAAAGGAAAACACGCTTTGTGCAAAAGCTGTTGCCCCCTTTAAACTATTGACTATATGCGGGCTTGCAAATTGGCAGGTCCCACAATTTCACTGCAAAGATAATACAATACAAGCTAGGTCAAATTGGATATCTAAAGGCAGATTCTGGCCAAAAAGAGGTGGAAGTGGTCACACTCCTTGTTATGCCAAGGTGTTTCGAGGGTGCTTTTTCATCTGGTGGACAATGAGTTACACCAAGAAGTTTCTATCTAAAGTGTGGAGTTGTGAACGGAGATGAATTTAGATAAAGATTAGTCGGGTAGTACGAAAATTTCTAATATTTTTTCTGATAAGTGGACCCGATGAAGGTCATCATCAAATCTAAACCCATCAATTGTGTTTCCTTATGAAAATGGAAACTGTCGCAAATGCAGCAACTACCATTGGAGCAATGACAGTATCATTCTCCTACAAGCGTCTAATCAGTAATGGTTACCCAAAGCAAATAGATATGTGAATAACAGAGTTCAATTCGTACAGATTTCTTTAAGCCTGGGCCAAACATTTTATATTAGACAATAGGTAAGTGATCTTTTTTTACTGTATATCATTTTTGAAGAAATACGTAAATCTGGTTCCTTATGGTCTATAAAGTAACTGGTTCAAACAAAAAGTCAACAACATGGAGGCGATAGAAGATTATGGGGGGTCGATGATTTTGAAATTATAACTTGGAAAGGCAACACCTAAATGGATCAAAATATCCTCGTCTATGTTTAAAAAAGTATAACTTTACTTGGTAGATATTTCTTACTTCTGAAAGCTTATTAGCAAAGTAAAGCTGCTACGCGCTCACCTCCCAAAGCTCCACTATTTTTCTTCTCTAAAGTTTCCTTGCCGTTGGCCTGACAGGCGCAGTTTTGTAATGTTTGCATATACTTCTTTTTCAGTTTATAAGACACGGTATTTTCCGTATCGGATTCGTAGCAGTTACACATTTCACCAGCCGCATGATGATTGCAGTGATAGATGAATGCCAGCGAACTAACCGACCTCCTTCTAATTTGAGTATTTTGTGATTTCTGAGGCGTGCTGCAGGCATTAACTTCATAGGCGGTGTAAGGAGGACTTTTATCTCGATCCGCTATAAGATCAGGAGGCCTGTTCTGATTCTTCACCTCTTTAGAATTGTCGATGTTCTATAAAGACCGCACTTTCGAATCCCGGATGCTACTTAAATTTTCTTATATTTACCTTGGCGAGTTGTACTAACTTATCGTTTCCCGACTTCAGAGCAAGTTTACAAAATTCTTCTCGCTCCTTGTTATCGTCCTCCAGAATATCGTGGCAAGATTCCAACAGCAAGAAGCATCTGGAACTGTCTTCGATATGTTCGCGCGTGTCCTCTAAACTTTCCTTGAACGCTTTCATTTGAACGCTCAGATTGGACGTGAACTCCTTCAGGTGCTGACCCTTAGTTTCTTTTATGTTTTTACACTCTTCTACCAAATCGTTGGCCTTTTCGATTTGTTTCTGTAACAAAATATATCATTAGTCTTCTGGAATGTAGCGGAGATATGCATCGATCAATTGTATGAGGTAAAGCTAGAATGAAAGACACATTTTCCGATAACATTTGTTGGACCACGCCGTTTCTAAGTGGAACGTTTAAAGCAGATTTGCGATTTACCTTTACCTACAGCTTATTATCAAAATGATAACAGAAGGCAGTTAATATGGTTGTTTTAGCGCTCTTGTTAATCAAGTAAACGCCATATAAAAACTAATCTTAAGCAGATACTATAAACATAAACTCACACATCCCTTACTGAATATAATTCTTTCTTCGTTCATGGGAACTAATATACTTGTATATTTCAAAGAATTTAAGTAAATAATAAAGCAACGTGATGAATTGATCAATTGAAGCACCTCAGATGATTTGAAAAGTTTAAAAAGAGGTCAGTTAATATTTTATATTATGGCCGGGTTTATAAAAAATTAATTTCTTAGATGTGGTCGACGTTTCGGCAATTTTATCGCTTTTTTGTTATGACTCTGGAAGGGATCAAATATACTTAAGTTCTTGTTTTTGTAAATGAATCAAAAACAATACAGATTGCTGTTCGCTTGCATTCTTGATTAATTATATATGTAAAGAAATAACAAAAAAAATTAACGAAAAACAGAAGAAGAAAAAACGATTAAAGTGGTTTTTGTTTTGAACTGAGGTGTCTTTTACTTGATGAAAATCCATTTATGAAAATAAATAAGAACTAAAAGTTCAGATTTTCACGAAATTATATCTTTTTACATGGACAATTGTTTCGACAACACGGTGTCTTTATCAAATGTAATATTTACAAACTACCTGATACTATATATACCGAAAAATGACCATAAAACCTTAATTAATGTTGTGAGAATTTAAGTTCAGTAAAGAAGAGGTTTTTAAATCTAATTGATCGTTAAGCATTTGAATGTCTCATTTTGTTAATCTCCATGGCTTCCAATAAATTAATTTTTCTACTTTTTGAGGCTGTATGTAAAATATCAAAATTGTAGTCAAAAATGTGTTTTTCTGTGTTTAAGTGTGTAGCATAATTAGAATCTAGACTATTGTTTTCGAACGGTCTTTTATGTCCGTTAACGCGTTTCTTGAAGGATCTACCTGTTTGTCCAATATAAATTGTAGGACAAGATTTGCATTTCAACCTGTAGACATCTGATTTTTGAGATTTTGAACATTTCGTTTTATTGTATTTTAAAAATTTTCCTATTGTGTTGTAAGTTCTGAAAGCTACTTTTAAACCACATTTTGATAAATGTTTGTTTGTTTTAAATTGTTCGTGTTCTGTTTTAGGTTTCGGATAAATAGAGTTTACTGTTGTCTGAATTTGTTTTTTATTTATAATTGTATCTATAATGGACGGATTGTAGCCGTTGTTCAATGCAATTTGTTTAATGATATTAAGTTCTTTGTTGTAATTTTATTTTGAGAGTGGCGTATTAAGAAGTCTGTGTATAAAAGAGTCAAATGCAGCCAGCCATTTTGTGTTTATAAGGGTGATTCGAGCTGTTATATATGACTGTGTGCGAAGGTTTATGATAAATGGAAAAATTTAATTTGTTTTGCGTTTTCGTAATATTTAAGTCTAAAAAATTAATACAGTTATCCTGTTCAATCTCGATAGTGAATTTTGTACGATTATATAATGAGTTAATGTAATTTAAAAAATCATTCAATTGTGTGTCCGTTCCAGAAAGGAAGCAAAGACATCATCCACCATAGAGAAATTTTACTTAAAGGATGTTCTAGTATGATATTTTCCAAATTATCCATAAAAATCTCGGCTAACAAAGGACTAAGTCGGTTTCCCATAATCAAACCTTCCTTAGAGATTTAAATCTGTCCATTAAATTCAAAATAATTTTGCTCAAAAGATAATATTAAGCAATCTAATAAATCTTGTTTCACCAAATCGATGTGGAACTTCAAAATATTTACTAATTTTGTTGAGAGTTTAACTGCTGGAACTGTTACATAAGACACTGCTTGTCTAAAGGGCATAACTTGTTTATGTAATTTAACTAAAGAATATAATTTCGGCGGTATTGGATTCATATTGTTAAAAAATATTTGTCTTTTTCACTAAATAGTGTGGAATTAGTAATTACTTCCTTGACTTGCCTTTGATATAACTCGGTAGGATCGTGTTTGATACATTGGAAAAGTTAAAGCAGTTAAACTCTTTGAACTTTTAGTTCTTATTGGTTTTTGTTTTGTTTATTTGGTAGCAGATTTACCTTCTTGTTTTCCGCAATAGAGAGATCATAAAATTTGTCAAAATAAACAATCTACGAGATTATATCGATTAAGTTAAAAAAAACACTCATTTAGATTTTCAATGTCTCTTATTATATTTGGAGAATTTTGATACTTTTTCATGCATATCATCTCGTCTAGAGCGCTTTAACAAAAATGTGTGCTTACAATTGAAACTTTATCAAAATCAAATTAATAAAATTTATCTGGAACATCTCCAGCTATGGCAGTTAAATTAAGTTTACTTTTTACCAGTTTGTCCGATATAAACTCTCTAGCATTGCATCCTGGGTGTCTAAAGTCTTGTATGTGTTCAATAACACTGTAAACTGTTATTAATTCAGAGTTCCAAAATATACGTGCAATAAAATTGGATATTTTGCCACAAAAATGTATCGAGACATATAAAAACATAAAAAATTTTAATATGAAACTAACCTCGACTTTTCTTCCTACCGAAAAATCCAACTTTTTTCGCTTATTGTTGCTAAATTGCCTTTTTTTTTACTAAATATTGACTGAAATTGAAATTTCTAAATACCAATCAAAAATGGATATATGAAAACTGCGACTTATTTGGTTATGGTATTCCAATAAAAACAAATACAATGTTGGAGCACTTTTCTGGTAATATGCTTGTAATATGAAAATAATTTTTATTGGAAACACAGGAAATAAAGTAAGGAGAAGTAATCCGCTTCTAGTTATTCATGGAAATCGAGACATTGCATAAAGCATATAGTTACCAATTATTATTAATCAAGAAAAGTATAAAATTTAAAATCGAAGCCTTGTTTCACGGACCATTAGTTTACAGTATTCGGGCCCATAAAGTCTATTAATCGGGCCGATTAATCTTTAAAAACTTGTAACAATACGGAAATGCATCTCATATCGATACGTGTCACATTCTTGAAAATGCACGTCCATTATTAGAAAACGACCACCGACAAATCGATCCGTACGATCTCACCACGACGCCCGTCTCGCAATAATTACCTCAGACGTAATGACATGCTTCAAAACAAATCGACCAATTATGATTTTTAATCTCGTCACTTCCTAGCAGGTTGCTATTTTACTAGCGACTTCCTAATCGGCAGTATTAAAATGTTTTAGGCACGAGTTTGTCACTCGGGTAGTCACGAATAGCACCTTACCGCTAGGTGAGAGAAAAGTGACAGGCTGACCAATTTCGGTGACGTTGGAAGTGCTGGCGATGGCAAAACAGTTTCTCTGATTGCAAATAATTGAATCGCTTATTTATTGATTTCAATTTATGATTTATATATTATTTATAACTCTATAGGTATACCTTATACCCTCTACAGTTCTATATCGCCATGTCATGCCATCAGATGGTTGATAGTTAACATGTGGCATTCATCTTGCATTCATTTTTTAAAATCAAGGACGGATATCTAATTTTACGCCCTGTGTGCTTCTGAGAATCAGAACCGTAGGTATATCTATGTCTCAGGCGGGAATGTCTTCTCCATTAAGTCTCTATGGACAGGGCTGAAGGACGACTAACTCTGTACTCGAGAAAACGTTCTTGTACCTGATGGGCTAGTATAATACAAAGTATAAAGATGCAGGGACAGAAAATAGTATATGGCAGCTCTCCGAAGCCCCACCCCACTGGACAACACTTAGGAACATCCGACTAAGAGTATTGGGAACCCGATTCATTAAGCCCGAGGAACTATCCAGCCGCCACAAGATACTGTGGAAGAGTACAGAGCTGTTCTAGGGAAGGCCTGAATGCAGGGACGCACTGCATATGCAATAAAATAGAATAGAAAGATTTTTGTTACTGGATGAAGTGCTGCTTTATTTACTGCTGATATTATATTTATAGTAAGCAACAAAAATAATTTGAAGTTTTTAACCAAGCAAAATTTTCACCAACGACCAGTCAGGGTTGCAAACGATAAAGAGAGATTTCTTTCATAAAAGTTTAATCAGAAATATATCCAAAAACTTAATAACTACAATGATGCTATCGATACCGATAAGGAAAAACTGCCGTTAAGTCACATTATTATAGAATATATAGAATAAATCGTTTTTTTAAGACATGAGAACCGCTCAATTTGCCATTACATCATGAATTTTCACTTGCCAAAAAGGGTTTCACAAAAACTGAAATAAGGGTCGTTTAAAACAACATGTGGATCAATGATTATGTGCACATCCCCAGTTGACTATTGTTATTGAAAATTGAAGAGTTATTTGATGATATTGATAATGAGCTGACGTTTGATTTTAAGAAATGAATCAGCGTAATGTTGGTAAGTTTTGGTTAGTTTGTATATAGCCTATTATGACGAGTGTTTTATTAGTTATTGAACGAAAAACACCACAAATACATACACTGAGTGTCGTGCGATGTGACCGTCAGAACAGTCAAACCTCAAAATTAGAAATAAACACTTTGGGCGCCGTTGATAATTATGTATTCCAGAATGGTTAGTAGAAAATAGTATATTATGCAACAAGTGCGGTAAATGGCATTTGACTTACGAGTTTATTCGACACGAGCGGAGCGAGTGTTTAATAAACGATTGACTTAAAAAGTTTACGGAACGTATTGCATACTATAATTTTTCTACGACTGTTAGTTTTTGTTTGATTGCTCCCAAACCCGTGCGGTAAAATCCCGGAAATGTCCGAAGTGGCTCGGATCCGTGGGAAATAAAACTGTATTTAATGTGAATTTTGCAATTTTCGCGTTAAAAGAAAATTCCGTTGGTGCTGAAAAAAATATTGTTTTCATTGAGTGATTTAGTTGCAAGTGTTATCAAACTGATAAGCAAGAAAATTACCAAGTTTTAATTTTTGAGCAACTTAGAAATTCTAAAATAGGGATTATTTATTGAAGTTTAATTGAATACCACAAGTATTTGAAAACAATGTAATAATAGGGCTCGATAATATGTCATTTCAATAAATTGAAAATCTATTGACCTTATATTATTGCTTTCATCGCATTTCCGTATAATCAATTTTGTCAATTTTCCGCTAAACAAATCTGCTCGGCGTACCGAAAAGGACACGGCAAATTTCCCCAACGCAAATTTCTATTATAATAATTATTTAACCATTTTTGTCGCGCTCGCGAACCTAATCAAATAACGCAAAATAATACATAAACAATTTATCTTCCATTATATGGCAAGCCATTGCGTTTCACTATCGAGCAGTTCGCCTAGCGCCCATTATATCTAATTAAAACGCAGAAAATATTTATTAGATGCATAAGTTACTGTCACTTTTCTCTTGAGATAATTCAGGTGCCCTAAGCAGGTGTAACCTATATGAAATTGCCGATTGCGTGGCTGGCCTGCATAGTCGTCCCACGTATGGGCGGGGTTGAGTGATCCCAGACCTCTCTCGCACACAAAATACAAATCTTATTTTATTTAATACTATAACGAAGAAACACATAACACATAATTAAGCAATTGCAGAATTGCAGAAAAACGTAAGCAAATTTAAATAATATTAAAAGTAATAATAATAACAATAATAGTTTCTTTGTTGTTACGACATAATCAGTAAAAGTATCAGCAACATTACAGGCAAAAGCGAGGTAAAAATTCAATTTAGAAAAGATTCTGGTTCATCCCTCATATGCCAAAAACGCAAAAGGTATCCTCTACAAGAAATAGAAAGTACAAAATGAGAGAATAAAAGAAAATTAGTCAGTTAACTTAAAGAAAACTCTTTATAATATTAATTAAATTGAATTAAACAGTCACTCATGCAATATCAACTCAAAATAACCTCGCGTTTTTCGATTGTTCGCGATATTGATAAATTGTAAAAGATAACTTTTATAAGTAAAACATTTTTCGTAGTAGGCTGTGATAGAGAGTGGAACAGATATGTAACAACAAAATTCTATGTAGATAGGTGTAGTTAACTGAAATAAAATAATTTTTAACTTTTATGAATATAATGTCAACATAATTCAGACCAAACATGTATGATTTGTCGAAGGTTATGGCAAAAGTCATATATTTACCAACTCTGATAATCAGTTTTGCTCAGCAGACTTTAAAAATGTTGGTTAGTTTGGTTAGACTTTAAGCAAAAAGTGTTTAAGCAGAGTATTTGGGGATTTTATAATATCTTTCTTAATGTTATTAAGATAAATTAAAAGATAACCCTTAAAGTATCATTTCGAATTTTTCCAAATATGTGATGAAAAATAAAAAATGAATTTTATGCTTTCTCCACTTGTAGTGGAATAAAAATTATATAAAAAAAGCAGCTTTAGTCTATACACTAATCAGAAAGATAATTTTATAATTCGTCATAATATATAAGCTTTTAAAATTAAGATTTTTACTGTTTTTTTGTTGAGATTTTACTGTAAAAAGTTTCAATTTGAGATTAAATGAAACTAGATCTATATTCCGTGACCATACCTACTTTTATCGCAAAAAAGTTTTCTGGGTAAACTTAGTACATAACTAGAAAATTTTCCTTTTTCAACTGAACCACCATTACTTTCAATGCCTATGGACAAAGTGTAATTTCCAATTTTTTTATTATTCCACTTTAAGTAATAAATTGTACCAAATAACAAAGCGGCCACCACGTCCTACTGACACAAAATATTAACGAACTAGAATCTACTTACCCAGGCATTAAAAAAGAACTCGTCGAAGCTGTTCGCGACCCCTTTAACACTCGCGGAATCTCCGGAGGCGCGAAGAAACAACGTCAGACTATTTAGAGTTTCTTCACCGACCTTCCTGGTCCAAGAAAGAAGCTGAAAGAAAAAAAATGCCATAAGAATACAGACACAATGCCGGTATGGCTGGCGCATGTAAAACCGTCAGTTTCACACGGAATAAGCAAACACAATCGAAAACATTAATTAGAAAATAACGTCTTTAAGTAGGATTGAGTTATTGTAGGTAATTGGTGCAGATTTACAGTGCGAAACAAAAGTTATCGACCTTTTCCATCAAAACTAATATCGATAAAGATATTTTTAGATTTCATCATTTCGGTAATAGTCCGGGAGCCCTGGACCTTTTTTCAAAATGATAAGCAACAAGCTAATGCTTTGGAAATCGTTTCATTTCATCAAGACGCCCAACCTTTTTCTCTACGAAAATTGTTGTATCAGGTAGCTAACTATACACGCAGGTATAAAATCATGTCCATTTAGTTACCATACCAAAATGATCAGCAACAGTTTAGTTTTTAGTTAAATCTATAGATATTGAAATATATAATTTGCAATTAAATTTGGCCTACAAACAAATAGGCTTGGTATAGGGTGGCCACCCACTCAAAGTTGTATCTATTATTTATTTATAAAAAGTGATGAGCAACATGCTAAATTTTTTACTGTAGCTTGCTAATAATTTTTATAAAAAAATGATCACATCGTCCTACAAATAAACTGGTAGGATTTTTCAGTGATACACTTTAGAGTTGTTGTACAAAACTATTTTTAAAAACCATCCGCAACCGCCTAGATTTTTGTGAGTGGATTCGTTTTATTTTGCGAAAAGTTGCAAAATAGGTAGCTGAAAGAATGAACAGGTATCAAATCATGTCAAATTGATTTTTATGTAAAAGTGATCAGCAACAGCTTATTTTTTAACTAAGTTTTGAGATGATCAGATAAATAATCTAAAACAACAAATGTATGTACATTACTCACGTTTAAGTTAGGGGCAATTTCCGAAATTTTGCAGTGTAGGACTGAAAGCACCTACCATTTTATTTGTAGGACAATGTGATCAATTTTTTATAAAAATTATTAGCAAGCCACAGTAAAAAATTTAGCATGTTACTCATCACTTTTTATAATTAAATAATAGATACAATCCTATACCAAACCTATTTGTTTGTAGGCCAAATTTAATTTCAAATTATATATTTCAATATCTATAGGCAATTTTCGTAGAGGATGATGAAATGAAACGATTTCCAAACAATTAGCTTCTTGCTTACCATTTTGAAAAAAGCACCAGGGCTCCCGGACTATAACAATGTCGCAGCAAATCGAGACAAAATGTAGTAAGAGTAATATTTACAAGCTACGGCAAAGTTTAGCGCGGGAAATAATTTCAAACTTGACACTACAATCTTCAACTCATGGCAGAGCACCTCGGTTACCAACCTTAAGTTCGTTTTACTTTGGCAACACTACACTAAATCATTGAAGGTTCTGTTTCTGCAAGGAAAATTTGAACTTTAAAGTCAGTTCGATAAATTTATTAAGTTATGTGTTTATTGGCTTTTTTGTTTTTTTATAAACGCCACTTTAGTCAAACAAGCGATTGAAGACCGTGAGTAACGAAACTTGATCGGTGTACAGTCGGTTAGAGTATAGGGAGAAAAAAAAATATTGCCAGTGCAACTTTGGTGTGTCGTAGCAAGTTTCAAGTGAGGGTTAAGAAAGTCACAATAAAAGAAAGTACAAGTTTATAGCATATTATGCAACGCGTCCGGTAACCTGCATTCGAGTCACGAGTTTATTTGACAACAGCGTAAGCTTGGATTCTTGACTGAAACAGTTTCATTTAGCCAAGTTCGACTCAACAAAAACCGACGCAGGAGGAATCCAGAAGTTTTGCAAAAAGTAAAAGTTTCTCCTTGGTTGTTAAGTTCCCAAATAACGCAAGAATAAGATTTTACTCGAAAAGAGTTGCTACTTCATATTTGTCAGTACAAGTATGTGTGCTGGCATGCAAAATCATACACTAGTTTCTTACTTGCAATGAAAAAATAAATCACCACCTTTGCTTTCTAACGAACGTTTTGAAGATACAGTATCAAGTGAAGAGTACAGCTATAAATCAGATATTATACTTTCTTATAATGTAATTAAAAGAGCAGTAGATCGTACTATAAAATGGGTAAATGATAAACAAGTACAACCGTCGATTGTGAACATCAGCTGTGGTCTCTGCCATCGTCCATGCTTTCTCGTTACGTTAAGCATAAGTAAAATAAAATAATGAGTTTTGCCTCAATAATGGCTTCTCGAACCATATGAGATGAGAAGATGAAAAAGATACAATTCCCTTAATTGCTTATAGAAAAAAAAAGGCAACTAATGTTGAAACACCACCAAAATTATTATCTATTTACTAAAACACAATTCAGTAATTTAGGTGGATGGTACACTATACAACAATAATAATAAAATACACTACATTTATTTATAGAGGGTATGGTACGTATGCTGCGTTTTTAATACGACCCTAAGAAAAAGCACTGTTACATTTTATCAATAATCTTTTCCACCATAAGGAGTTTTCTGTAATAAAAAGTTTTACGACAATACGTCTTTATATAACCCCATTTAGTAGCTAATTTAAAAGTATATGTACATATATAGTATACTATGCAACAAGTGCGTTAATCGGCATTTGAGTCATTACATTATTTGGCACGAGCGGAGCGAGCATTTAATAAACGAATGACTTAAAAAGTTTACCAAACGTGTTGCACACTACACTTTTTCTACTACCGTTAGTTTTTGGGTGGATTTTTCCAAAACAACACGAATACATTCACTGACATGACTGTCAGAACTGACAAACGTCAAAAGTCAAGCCATGTCGCAAAATCGCCGTGGGACAAGACACTCACGTGGTAAAGTGACGCTTGCAGCACGCTAGATCGGTGTATAATTAGGTATTTTACAGAAGGGAGTAGGAAAACATACATACCACATTATTAATGGAAAATTATAGGCGGTTATGCAATCGAAATTCTTTCCTTTGAAAATCGCTTAAAAAATGAGATAACGGTTACGATTACTGGTCTATCTTCCAGTTCAAAATGTATTTTTCTTCACATATCTCTGTGACTGTCAACAAATTAGAATATACAGAATGATTCACAAATGCTGACTAAAAATTTAGGCTGCGCTTTTGGCGGCAGCTCTTCCTATGAATCTCTTATCTAGAGTGCTTCGTTAAATTTATTGCAAATGTTCTGATATGTTTGAATTCGTAGCTTCAATTTTCCACAGGTTGCTACTCCTTTAAATTTGCATCTAAAAAAATTACATTAATTTTTGAATAAAGTAAGATTTTACAATTTTTAGTAGGCTTGCGATAGTAACTTTGACATTCTGTCATTTTTTTTGTATAATCTAATTAGAAAATAGGACAAGTCCACTATCAAATTTCCAAAACCAATTTTATTCTAGAATCGGAATGTTATTTTAGAGAGTTTCGAAAAACATAAGTAATTTATCGAAAACTTTTTTTAATATATACACTTCTTGTCTTGTTTAACACCCTGTATGAATCTTTATCTAGATAAACAATAGTTTCCTTCCTTCCGACACTTTCAATTCTAACACTTTTCTTTTTCCTGACTCAATTTTAACCATTTTATTTGACACCTGTCATCAATCTGTCGCTCTAAACCATCGCAATGCTGCAATGCCGATACATACATGAGTGCCACACGATCATTTCATTTAAAACCGTCATTTCAAATCGCAACGGACGAACACCTGGTATATAACGCTATGCCAAAAGTAACATCGAGCAAGTGATGATTTACATAATTGCATAGTGCAAGTTGTTTAGAGTTTCAGTCAACTGTGGAAAAGTACGAGCCTTGCACCATACAATTTTCATGGGTTGTTGGTCATTTTTTGCGTTAAACAATGCCGGGAGGTACGTGATGAAACTGACGTGTTGCACAGTTTTAATACGCTAGATGTTCACGTTAAAATGTCGTAGATTTTATCAACATCCTTCGAAGTGACTACGACGTTTTTATTGTCCCTCGTGTTTAAATTTATAATTTGAGTGAACATTTTATTTTTAATTTTTGGTCGGAATAACCAAAAACAATCAAAAATAGACACAACTAGAATGAAACTACAAAATTTGTTAGGTATAAGATTTGCTAGTGCAAAAAAAAAACAACTTAATATCATGGCATATATTTTTCATTCGTATGCATCAAATAGAAATATGTCAATGTGCATTTATTACTACTCTTTTAATTAACAGAGTTTCTTTGACTGCTAATAAGTCTTATTATCCTCGGACGTTTCGGTTCTTTGAGTACGATCGATCAGATGTTTTGGTTAGTTTAGTCACTTATGTCACTTTGACATTTGTGAGTACTGATGTTCCACTTGTGGCAAATCGAACTAGTGAATAGAGTGGTGTTTATCAAATTTGTTGCATAATTTTCATAATTTCAAATTTTGGTTACATCTATACATATTTGAAATTTAAAAAATATTCCTACTTTCGTAGCGTTGACAATTCTACTTAAATCATGAAACTTTTGAAATTCTAAATTGAAGCTTGGTCTCGTTGAAAAAAGAATTTTACCTTAGTGATGCCTCTAGAAAGGCGCTTTTTAATATTAAAAATTTTAATATTAAAAATTAAATAAAATATTACTTTTTTTCCACTAAAATATGAAATAGACTTCACCAGGAAAAGAAAAGTGTAAATGTAACGTGAACTGTTTTGAAATATATTTTTTTTAATTGTGGATGAAGATAAACAAACCAAAATTTGGCAGTTTCAACGAAATATATTTATTATCACGTTTTTGCGTCAAATGTAATTTTTTGTAATCGAACACTCTGTATTTCATAGTAGAAATGAGTTAATCCCTTCTATCGAATGGTTAACATTACATTGTCATCTACCTAAATAAGCCAACCACAGCTAACCAAAACTAATAACAATATCTTAACAGTAAAAAAATAAAAAAAATAAAAAATAAAAAAAAATAATAAAATAAAATAAAATAAAAATAAAT